CAGAGATCGGAGGGGAGAAAAAAATATGAGCGATATCCAGTTTAGCGGCGCAGCCTGTCACGTGATGATTGTTGTGTTTAAGCACACGCGCGCAGAGAATCACTCTCGCTTTTGCGCACGGATTCTAATGTAATCGGATGATTCCACAAAAGCTGCATTTCAGTCTTTTCAGAAATTCATTGGCTATCAGAAAATAGCGTCATTTCATTCTCTATTGCAACTGGATAGATAAACTGTCACTCAAAGAGAGAGCGAAACTGGCGCGCGCGTAAAGTTTGAAGCGAAATTTACGCGCGTGACGCGCGTCAGAATCAAAATCCGTTGACGGTCATTGTTTTTATGTCGACCGAGCATTCATCAAGAGAGTTACCGCTCTGTATTTACTCTGGATAGCAGAACAGCGGCGTGGGGATCATCGTCGCCGTATATTTGTGTCCACCGGACCCTTCGGAGCCGAACCGTTTGGCGAGTTTCACCATTTGCTCGCTCCAGGAGCTGCGCTGGATGACGGCCGCTGTCAGCGGTACTTCCGCCTGTCACGCGCCCAGTTTGATGACCTGTTGTCCCGCATCTGAGCGAGGATCACCCTCGCCCGGCCCCTCATCCATCTAATCTAGCTGTCATTTATTTTTGTTTTGATAATAAATAGAGCCAGCCTTCAAAAGTTATTAACCTGTCCTGTGATTTTTTTCTCTCTCTCACGTCCAGACACGAATTTATGCACATATGTTGATATATATATATATAGCGCGCTATGTATGTTATGCGCGCAGTATGTCTCGCTCTAGATTCCGGGAGATTTGAACTAATTTGCGGGCATCAGGGAGACGCTATCAATATGCTGGAGACTCCCGGAACTTCCGGGAGACTTGGGATGTCTGTCTTTACAACATAATACTATTTCTAGATATGGAATGAATAACATTCAATACAAAATGAACATGTCTCCATATAGAAATAATGTTTTAAGTGATGAAACATTTGCTTTGTTGTGCATAATCCCACCATGCATTTAGTCATATACTCATATTAACAAAATAATTTATTGAAGCATCCAGACACTTCACCACGTGAGCAAGCAGCTAGGCTCCTGATTGGTTAACGCGGCGCGAATTCACGCCAAAGTTCAGATTTTTCAACTCGGGCGGCAGACGCGAATTCGCGTCAAACGCGTGAATGCACAACGCTCAATTCGCGCCATTCGCGCCAACTTGACGCGCGAATGAGGCGTATTCGCGTCTTCCGCGCCGCGCTCCACGCCTCATTCGCGCCGCAGGAATTTTTCTTGCATTGACTTAACATTGAAATCATTCGCGCCTGACGCCCTATTCGCGTCCGGTGTGAACGTAGCATTAGTGCGTCGAAGTTGTGATAGCGCTGTCGGCTAACGCGAAATGCTACTATTTACATTCCATGGATGTTTATTCATATATACAATTGTTTTGGACTAAAAACTTCTTCAAATTGGATTGTATGGACGCTTTACAGTGAAACCAAACCATTTTTGTTGGAATGTGGACTAACAGATGGCTAATTGGTGAGTTTCTTCCAGTTTGTGTTGGTTTGTTTTGGCTGTTGGTGGTCTGACAAAGAGACAGATTGTGCCCGCTGTGTTGATTGTATCTTAAAATGGTTTACGTCGTTCGAATCACGAGTTTCTCAGCTTTCCAAAGATATGTATTATGTTTACTTTTGTGTTTGTTTTGTTTTGTCTTTCACAAAGTTAAACCTATAAACCACCCTGTGGGCCGTATACGGCACGTCGGACCACGAAAAAAAAAAAATATCGGACTAATATCGGTATCGGCAAAAGCCAAAGGTGCGGCATCGGTATCGGTATCGGAAGTGAAAAAGTGGTATCGGGACATCCCTAGTTATAAGGGAGTTGAATGCGGCCAGGCTGCCCGCCATGGGGGCCAAGCGCATAGAATCTGGTCTCTCGACTGAGGTCGTGGAGATCATCCTCCACTCCAGAGCTCCGGCCACTAAGAAATGATATGCCTTGAGGTGGAAGATGTTCACCTCTTGGTGTGGGGAACACCAGTTGGACCCAGTTAACTGCCCGGTGGGTTCAGTGCTAGAATTCCTTCAAGAGCATTTCTCCACAGGGTTCAGCCGGGTCAGGGTTTACTGTGCCGAATCAAACTGTACTGTCCTGTACCGCTCTGGGGAAACGAGCCATAAGTTACACTAATTGGATTTCTGTTCAGGCAGTGTGAGCTTTTTTTGTTAGAACTAGCCTCAACTCATGCAGATTGCAATGTGTCAAATGGTGTTTATGGAAAACAAATACATGTCTGGGGTTAGTTTTATAATTGTGTCTTATATACCACATGCTACTGATCCCAAATTAATACTGATGGGAGAATCAACTGTAAAAATATTACTCACAGGTGTTCAGTGTCATTAAAGCCTAATTCTGCACTAATTGTATTTTATCAACTAATATGAAAAACTGAAAGAAAAGCTTTTTATTGCTTTTTATCTTTGCAAATAATAAAGCTGCAATTAACTTAGCATGATCAGAGTGTGTATATATAGAACATACTTTTCTAAACATATTGTAAAGTGGGCTTAACCCTCTGGTGTCTATAATTGTGACGCAACATCATTTAGAAAACTAATCCCGTCTGAATACCTGAATTCGTTTTTTTTTTGTTTTTTTTTTAAGACCACATGTGTCCAGAAAAAAAATACAGCAGGACATCAGCAATGTCACCTCGCAGACTGACCCCAGGCCAAAAAGATATAATTACAGATCATCCAGAGAGAGAGGGAGAATGAAAGAGGGAGAGGAAATTGACAAACTGACATGGAGAGCAAGAGAGATCATTAGGGTCAGCAGCCACATCACCTTCAGAGACCCTTTGGTGACATTTTATATCACAGACCAACAGAGTTTCCTTCTTCCTCAACCCTCTCTCTCTCTCTCTCTCTCTCTCTCTCTCTCTCTCTCTCTCTCTCTCTCTCTCTCTCTCTCTCTCTCTCTCTCTCTCTCTCTATTTCAGTTGGAGTTTGCTTAAGACTGCTCTCAGGTCACTTCAATTTGATTTTTTTTTTTTTTTTTTTTTTTTTTTTTTTTTTTTGGTCCAAGAAGACATTTGGATGGGTTAAACAGAGTAGGACGACTGCCGTTATGAAGCTTGTGTTAAACTTAACCTCAATGGATTTGTCAAGTGCTTTGCATTGAGAACCAGATGTGTGTGTGTGTGTGTGTTTCATATGGTTTGAGGCAGATTTGATGGATAGGTTGTGATGTAGGACCCTTTTGAGTTTTATATTGTATTAATAGAAAGATTGATAACAGTGTTATTTTAGTATTATAGTTTGAAATTAATAAGGTTTTATTTTTTCAGTTATATTCATTTATATGATTTTTTCACTTGTTTTTGCTTCATATTTGGCTTTATTTTTATTTCATTGTCAGTAATTGCAGTACTTCAATTTGATTCTTGACAAGCCTTTTTTAAGTTTTGCATATAATATTGATATTTTATTTTATTATCATCTTTATTTCAATCGACAAACTATATTTAATCCTTAAGTTAGCAGTAACAGCACTGATTGGTAATGGTATTAGGTGACATCACCTGTGGGCAGTATCACCTGTGTATAAACACATTCTGTCATTTACCTCATGTTGATCCAAACATGTTATATTTTCTTTTGTCTGTGGGGGGAAAACTTTCAAAAGCAGAATATTCACGCTGCTATTTTCCATATTATTATTGTCCAAAGGGGCACTGTCAAGTTGGGACGGAGTTAATTTAATCAATTCTCATTTTGAAGAACCATATTGATTCTTAAATCCAAATATTTGATTTTAAGTCTATGCTGCTTTCAGTAGATGAATAAATGAAAATTTGTAGTGTGCCTCCATCCAATAAATTACAAGATTGTTACTTTTGATATGAAAACATGTCTTAGCTTTTAAATTCTGTCCATTTATGAAATTCAAACAATAAGTACCTTTTTGGTGCTCTTTAATATGATGTGACAGACCACTGTAGCACCTCAGTTCTATTGAAATGCATGTGATCCGATCATCTCTTCTGCTTTACTACTAAAGCACGAAATAAACATGAATGAACATCAGAAGGTATGTTGAAAGATACAGTATACCTTACCGAAGTCCGCGTCATGTTTCATGTAATCGCTCAATCAATGTTTCAACCGTGGAAAGACCTCAATAAAACAGCTTGTAAACAATCTCACCTAATGGTACATTTCCCTCAGCAAATTTATTCAATGTCCAAAAATGTATTAGTCAGCAAGAAAAATCAACTCTAGAGGTGAATATGTTGTTAAATATATGGACTATGTGCATATTCTTTGCATTTTTACTTAACCTGTTCTTCAATATTTTATGTACGTTTGAATAAATACGTCACGTTTTCAAGACAGCCACATTTTAAATGTTTATTACATTTGAGTAACAATGTTTAAAATGTTTAAAAACAAGTAGAGACATAACGGTTATTAAAAAATTATTTATATATAATTACAGCATTAGCTGAGAGAATTTTTATCTTAGAGAAATGTTGTACAGTACCTGTTAGCCCTAAATTAATCGATATGGAATCGAACTGATTTGAATCTCAAGCTTGTGTCCAGCCCTACAAAAATCAACCTAAAACTATCATACATTTGGTCTTATGCGCTATATTTAAGATTTTATGAAGCTATACAATTAATTTATTTATAAATTTGAACCCGGAATCACAGAATATATTGTTGACTTACTGTATATATGTAATATATAAGTTTGTTTAATATATGTTTCAAGTAAGAAAGTTTGGACAAGCTTGTTTGTTATTCATAAAGCAAATGGTATAAATGGCATAAAGTCAAACCAGTTTACTTTCATCACTCTCAAAGACTGAATAAAAAAAAAGTGATTTGTAGTTATTTATATCAAGGAAATGTTAATATCTAAAGTCACCTTCAACTTATTTTCTGTTTTGAAGCATGGGGTTTTTTTTGTTTGTTTTTTTTTCTAGATACACACTTTCTGCATCAGAATAATGAGCAAGCTGTCAGAAACCATCAGTTGTCAGTGGCCAGAGTCTGGTGGTCACTTCGCTGCATGCTCACACACACTCAGACCTTCAGGGGCTCTGAAGCCTGAAGCACAATTCGGAGGGGCATCAAAGGCACAAAGCTGTCATGACTATTTAGCTTCATCTCACGACAGACTAACATCCTATTTTCGTCTCTCGCTCTTCATTTTTTCAAATTACATTCAGTGCATATGTGTGTGCGATGATGCGGCTGCATGTATATGTGCTTGTTTCTTAACCTTCAACCACATTTATGTCCCTGGGGTTGAATTGTATTAAAACATTTTTATTTATTTATTTTTTATTTTTTATTTGAAGGTCACATTAAAACTACATTGAAAACTTTATACCTTTATCATTTATTTTTTGCTTATGTGTAGATTGTGTTTTTTACCCTTGTCCCAGACTCAAAATAATGTTATATTTAAAAAATTTAAAGTAAAGTATTAATAGGTAACATGCTTATATACTGGATACAAAAAACATTTATTTATTTTAACATTGCGAATTTGCAATTGCTGCTATCTATATCACCTATTTTTTAATTAAAATACATATAATATTAAATATGTGAATATAATTGTGTGTGTGTGTATACTATTAATCATAATAGATATAAATAGAGAATAATAAAGATGTCACTAGTGATGCACTGATGTGAAAATTGTGGCCGATACGATATCCGATATTAATATTGTTGTTATGGCCGATACCGATAACCGATATTTATATTGCTGTTTTGGCCGATACCAATATTTACCGATGTCGATATCTCTCTATAGAAGATACATAGTGAGGATTAGGGCTGCACGATATTGGTAAAAAACGTCATTGGGATGTTTTATTTTTATTTTTTTGCAGTATATATATTGCGATATAAAAACTATTTCACCAGATGACTTGAATAGCTCTTGGAAAGAATGAATCATTCTATGACTGGGGTGGATTTGTCATGGAGTAAATCCGCATAGAAACTAATAATGGAATGTTAACTAATGTAGTTAACTAGACTTTAATAAATGGAACCTTATTGTAAAGTGTTTCCGCTTTATGTCTCTTGAGTTCAGTGTTGGACAGATCAGTTGTTTTAACCATTCTTTGAAGTGAATCGGTTCAAATGAGTCATTAGTTTGCGAATCTAACGTGTCATTAACAGACCACGGCACATGTTGTGTGATTATCCAGCAGTTTAAGACATCGCACAAGATTTGTCTCAACACAGAAAACATTTCATCACTAGATAGATTTTTTTGTTGTTTATTGAAGTGTTGTTTATATCATCTGAATGTGTGGAAAGCTTTTCAGAGAAGACAAGGCAACGCTATTTTGGCACAATTCACAACCAGCGGTAGTCTTTCACTTTCTCTGCTCGATCTCTGAGTTAAACAAGCGGAGCAGTCAGTCATCTATCGACTCGCTCATCGGTCAAGCCAGGCTTTGGTGGGACAAAAATACATCTTAGTAAGGCTGACAGAAAACAGCATGCAAGTCTCCTTGCGCTTGATGTTTAAATTGACAGGACTTGCACTCGTAATTTATGCGCTCGTGCAAAAACAAACATCCCGGCCGCCCCCACACTCACATCTACACACACACGTCAAATCCACAGGAATGATTATCGGCCTGTTCACATATGCCCTATTTTGACATCGGAATGTGTAAAATATTGACCATATCGGCCGATATTATATCGGCGGTCGATATATATCGTGCACCACTAGATGTCACCTTTGCATTTTAAGGGTTACATATCTCAAGTTGACACCTTTTTTTTCGTTTTGATATTTCCTCTCCTGTGGCTCCTCTCATGTTGAATGTGATTCCTTCTGTTTCAGTCAACCAGAAAGATCTTTGTAATACGTTACTTTCATTCAAGCTCAAATGTCAGGTTTCAGTCTCTGGCTGCTTGTTTCAATCAGACACAAATGTCAGGCAGCTTGTTCCTGCTTCCGCCTGTGCCGTTGGAAGCGAGCAGCTGGTTCTGGATTAACCCAAACCCACCGATTCACTCCTTTACACATACGACACACACATTTCTCATGTGATGGGAAACCTCTCTCAAAGTCTCTCGTCTTGGTAGAGCAGCACTCAAAGCAAGGGAGTTGTTTTCTCAGTGCTGTCAGTGTTTTTTATCTTCCTTTTTACTTTTCATCTAATATCAACATGTCTTTACCTCTCTCTCTTTCACTCTCTTTCAGTCTCTTCAGTCCTCCTTGATGTTCCGCAATTCTTTTGAAGGCATTACAAACAAAATAACAGCAAGCATCTCCCTTTTTCCCCCTCTCCCTTTATCTTTTACAGGGAGCGTTTCCTAAGTTCTTGTTCAATTGACTTAAAATCGAGGCTTGTGTAGCTTTCCTCTTACTGACAGAGTGTGTCCTACACGCTTAGAAACCAGAATCCGAAGCTTTTGTAAATACCACTGACCTTGCTGTAGAAAAGATATGGGACAAAAACAAATCAGGAGTTGATTTCCAGAAAGTATTCTTTTCATTTCCTTTCTCGCGCTGGTGCTGTCATGTTTTGAACTAATAACTCGTGAACAATCTTTGCGTCTTCCATTGCTGAGCTTAATTTGGCATGACAGTATGCGTGTCTTACTGTTATGATGACTACAGCGTTCAGTTCAAAGACATTTTAGAACACTGTTCCATCATTATTGAATAACTACAGGGACAAATGAGTAACACATAATTAATATTCTACTTAAAAACTACTATCAACTAACAAGAAATTCTGATTAACAAATTCGTAAGTAATAGTGTTTAGTCGAAAGTGGTAGTTCACTATTAGGTAATCAGTAACTACTATTTTTTTCACTACTAACTACTCAGGTTCCTAATCAATGTGAATAATGCATAATATATAATTAATTCTAAAGTGAAGATCATGGTAAACCACTAATGACTCAAGTATTTCCAAATCCTTCAGAAGGAATTACTAATTATTTAGATCAGTATTCTAAAGTGAAAGACATGAGCACTCTATATAAAGACTGAGATCATAGTAAGCTTTTGATTTTTGGGATATTAATAATGTTAATACAATCATCTAAAGGAACTACTAATTATTGGATCAGTATTCTTAAGTTAAAGCATCATAATGCCCTAGCAATTACTGAAGTCATTGTAAACATTATTGTAGATTTTTGTAAGGTTTTAAATAGTATAATATTTCCTTCTGATGGATTTGGTAGCATGAGTTGGTTACTAGGTGGGTTACAATGATCTTCACTTTAGAATACTGAAACATTATTGGCCAACGCTTTTCACTTCATGTTTTTATTCATCAGATTGTTGAATATTTAATAACATATTGTATTTAGTGATAAAAAAACTCACAGTTCCAACATTGAAAATAATGAGAAATGTTTCCTGAGCACCAAATCACCATATTAGAATGATTTCAGAAGGGTCATGTGACACTGAAGACTGAACAGCAGTTTCCCCCTCATTTGGCCTACAACACATTCATGGTCATCTAGTATGAAATGTTGACTACAAACATTGAAGTTTTTTTTTTTCATATTTACGATTCTTTGCAGCCTTTAGTCACTGCCTAAAATACGCTGTTGTATCCTTCACTAGAAACCGAAAGTAACTCACTCCTGCTAAATGTTTGCTCTTTGAATTATGGAACACGGGAATAGTACAAGTCGACACCATAATAACTTAAAGTTTGCTAAGATGTATGTCTTACTAAAGCAAGGCTGTATTTGACTCTGGTATGCGCATTCATAACAGACTGGTATGGCGTGGCCTTGGATGGCAATGCCCAATGCATTATGGGTCCCTATAGTTAGGTAGCACATTTAAAAAAAAAAAAAAATCACCTTTCAACTGCAAAGTCAGCCAATTTTGATTGAAACCCCGATATTCGGAATGCACTGATGGCTGAAATCGAGGTTATGTTGGTAGAACTGCTTGCATTCAGATACTTGCATAGATTATGTTTTGGGCCAACACATCAAATGCAATATTTTACATCAAAACACTTGTTTCAAGTGTTATGCTAAATATAATTGAAATGTATTTAGCAAAATGAGGCTTGCTGTTTTCAATTGAATTGAATCTGAGTGTTGGAAATGAGGATATAGATTGTTGTTGTCTCTGAGGACGGTTCTCATGGCTGGAATATGAGATTGGGGAGAGTGGCCCATGCCCGCTTGTCCCTGCTCCACTCTCCCAGTCATCTATTAGCTTTGATTACTCCTGCCTGGGTTGATACGCTCCTGCTCAGTGGATAAGCCTGGCGGAATGCTGATGGTCTCCGTGGTGATTTGTTTGCATGGATTAAATGTCATCTTTGGAAATATGTTATTACAGTCAGGCTCTGGAGACAGAAACACACATGCTCACTTGGATTTTCTCTCACTAACACACTCACACATGTGCAAACAGACTGGCTCACACATATCAAGCTAGAAAATGGCAAGGATACATAAAAACTCACTACACGGGATGCACAGACTTTCTCTAACATATGCTGTCATATTCATTTGGTATTTGTGAGCAAATAATATGCTTGGTAAAAGTGGCAGAAAGGAAACAGAATATTGAGTTCATAGCACAGATTTGTGCAAGTTAGTGCTGGAATTTCTGGCACACGTATGTTGAAATTTAGCACTTTTTAGCCAGCATTTTTTCTTGTGAAGGTAATTGGTCAAGGAAGTATTCCTGGTTAAAATAATAGTTGATTTTTTTTTTTTTTTTTAGTACAATGGGAAAAAAATCAACAAACTCATTAAACTCTGTCAGACTCAACAACACACTGCAAAAGTGGTCCACATGGTTTTATTCCCCAAATTAATGTTTGTAACAATATTAGGCAAAATGATGACTGAAATTGCCATGTTTAGATTTACAATCTTTGGTCTGGAATGAATATGTGAGTAGATGTTGAGAAAATTTTCAATTTTCGTTGAACTTTAAACTCTCTCACAAACTTCAAATATTGAATTTGTTGTATTAAACAGTTTAGTGAGTTGGCTAATACACAATCAGACAACATTAAAGCTGCCATTTTATTCTTAAATCATATAAAGGATATAGAAAAAATGAAGAAAATTAAAAAATATATATAATAAAATGGAAAGTAATAAAGATTTAAAACTAAATTAAAATTTTATAAAAAAAAAATGTTACAAGTAAAAAAAAATGCAAATGCACTTTCTTGTGAAATTGTAACTTTTTCTAATACCTTTTATTTTATTTTATTTTATTTTATTTTTTGGTGCTGGGTGAAAAGCTATACTGATTTTCCTGC